TTGATGGGCGTGGCGGGTAGCGTGAACCAGAGCCTGGTGGGGGGGGGGGCGAAAAAAGGGGGGTGGACAACATGTAGTCAAAATGTGCTTAGAAGGGCCTTGGTGATGCGAGTGGTGCCAAAAAGGTTTGATAGTGCATGATTAACATCACAAAGTGGGCAGGCAGTCGGTCTAATTGTGTGTATGCCCGCCGTAGAGTTTACGTCGTCCAGCAGTCCAAGAGATGGTGGGCCGACACGCTCCGAGACCAACGGACTCAAAATCGTGCCTGAGCACTCGCACTGGGTGGTTTGCACACAGAAGGCAGGGATACGCACACTTTCACATTGGGGCTCGATATGAGAAAGTCTATATGACGCCTCTCACAAGGCCTTTACTAGCCCTCAGCCGCTGCTTATGTATGAGTTGGAGAATGAGCTGTTTGCAAGAAGTGCGGCGGTGGCAGCACTCCACCGCACACCCAAGTCTGAGATGGACGAGCGAATGAAACACGAGAAAACGCTTCCCAGCTGTAAATTCCAAATTTTGCAGTACTTTGAATTTTGTCGCCGACCTGCTTTGGCTCGGGTTCCAAGTGAGAAGAAATACTGGCCCTTTTCTACCTAATGCCACTTGCATTTCTCAGGTCCAGCTCTACTTTCCTCAGCTTCGTTTCTGGCCAATTTGGACAAGGTCTGATTGATGATTACCTCGCCACCCTGAAGGACTTCCCACATCTTGGTATACCAGCTGTGGCACAGACCTTTTTCCAATTGGCAATTCAGGCAATGGCAGAAAACTGGAGAAGGTTCACTCTCCCGACTATGTCATTTCCTTATACAATGCTCCGACTGTTGGATTGTGAGTTGGACCAGTTCCGGGAAGAGTTTGAGCGCCTCAAGGCCAAGAAGGACGTGTGCTGCCAGTGTGCAGATTTAGAACTCTCTACTCCGCTTTTGAGCTGGATCAATGTGAGCACACCTGAAGCTGCCCAGCGCTCTATGCACGCAGTGCAGCGATTCTTGAGGCATATGTCCCTTCAAGCGCCGATAAGTTCCGACCTTGCTGAATGCCTCCATGGCTGGACCCAGCATTTGCTTCACCGCTGGCGGGGCGTCAAGCCATCTGACGCAGTAGCACAAGAACGTGCCATGTTTACACTCATCACCAGGTCCTTTGGCAGATTCAAGAAGTGGATGTGGGAAAGACATGGAGACCAGAAAAGCGGGTATAGACTCTACCGCTATGGGAAGGCTTCCTGCAACCAGTACAGTCAGGAGAAACGTGGAAATGCTGATGGAGATATGGCCATTGTTGCTCAGAAGGATGCTGGAGAGGCAAAAAGACCCAAACCCAAACCTTCAACACGGGCACCGTTGTCAGTTGAAAAGATGAGCAATTTGCTGGCTTTCGAAGAGGAAGATTCTTTGCGGATGCCTCGAAAGGTGTGTGGTTCCTTGGTTCAGTTCAGCCTGGCAACATGTTTGCGAAAGTTGGAGCACACAAAGTCAAACAGATTGACAGGGACAGGGAGTTTGGGTGTTAAGTAGTTATATAAATATTATAAATATAAATATAAAAATATTTTAAAGCATATTACTAATACAAATAGAAATAAATAATCTATATATTTATATTTATATAACTCAATTTCTTGTGTTTTTGGATTTTTGGAGGTGCAAATCAAAGGTGTGCAGCTCCTTGCATTTGGATAACCCAGAGTTTGACACGTGGCTGATTGGCTGGGGGCTGCCCACATTCTGCTTCGTTGAATCCCGCGCTCTTGTATAAACAGAGAGTCTCACTTCCAACTCCCTTGGACACTTACCGTTCCAGAGCCGTGCCAGTTTTGTTGGCTTCGGACCCTTTTCACATTAAAGCAGGGAACCCCCAACTTGACTTCTTAGACTGTGGCAGCTTGCAGTGGAGAACCTAGGTGTATGACCACTCGCTCAATCCACTCATCCTATGTTTTGATCTATTCCTCTTGGTATTGCAGCCCCCCAAATCAAACCAGTGAGGAAACAAATAAGAAACAAAGTAAAATAAGTGCCGGACAACAAATCATAAATCCAGCAAAAAGGTAGAGAAAAAAAGGGAAAGGACAAGGAGAGAAAACATATAAAACACTAAGGTTCCTTACGTATGAAACTGGGGATGAAAAGGGGCAAAAAAAACAAGGAACAGGGACAAGGAAAAAGACAACCGAAAAGGATACAGGAAGGGACAAGGAAAAAAAGGAAAATGCAGAACACACGGAAAAGGACAAGACATCCATAGACATCCTAAGCAATGTAAATTGGAAACAAGAAAATGACAGAAAAGCCACAAAAAAAACATGGAAAAGGACAACAACCAAGGAAAGGAAACATACTAAAAGAACTGACCATAAGGAACATGAGTAGAAAAGGGAAAGAACATACAAGGACATGAGAAGAACAGGGCTTGGAGAAGGAAATGAAAGGTCAAGAATACAAAAACAAAGTGGAAACACTGGCTCTTGTCATTGAAAATGCAAGTGCATATAAAAACAAACATTGAAAAAGGATCACCAAAGGTGAAGGAAAGGGGATCGAACAATACAAAGAGTAGGGAAAAGGAAAAGGACATAATAAGAATATGTAAGAGTATAATCAGTACAAGGATCAAGAAGGAACAAATACCGAACAATATAGAAAACATTGACAAGATATAAGGAACATAGAAAAGGGGAAAAGACCGGAAAGCAAAAAGAAGATAGAGCACAGAAAATGTCAAAGGAACAGAAAAGACAAAAGAACATGAGTGATGCAGCCGGAAAAGAAAGGGAAAAGAAAGACACAGGAAAAAGTAAACAAGGAAACCCACCCCAAAAAGAAAACAACAGAGGGTCTCACTTCCAATTCCCTTGGACACTTACTGTTTCAGAGGGGTGCCAGTTTTGTTGGCTTCGGATCCTTGTCACATCAAAGCAGGGAACCCGCAACTTGACTTCTTAGACTGTGGCAGCTTGCAGTGGAGAACCTAGGTGTATGACCAATCGAAGCGCAGATTTCGCGGCAGGCACAGCACTTTGTGAACCTCGAAGTACAGATTCGTGGCAGGCACAGAGCTTTGTGAACCTCGAAATTCAGATTTCGTGGCGCAGCACTTTGGGAACCTCGAAGTGCAGATGCTCACTCTCTCACTGTCTCAATTTCACTCTCACCCTCACTCTCACTCACTCACACACGCTCACGCTCACTCTCACTCTCACTCACACTCACTCATCACTCACATTCACAGTCACTCTCACTCTCACACTCGCACTCACACTCACACTCACTCTCCCACTCTCACCCCCTACTCACTCTCACTCGCTCTCCCACTCTCACTCTCACTCGCGCTCACACTTTCACTCACACATACAGTCACTCTCTTCACTCTCACTCGCACTCACTCTCACTCTCATTCACACTCGCCACTCTCACCCACACTCACTCTCACTCTCACTCTCACTCACTCTCATTCTCCCTCTGACTCACCACCACCATCACCTCTCTGGCCCCAATGCGTCTAGATTTTTAGACTTTCTGCTTGTAGACATCACACACACTGTTTGGGGTCTCTTGCCGGGATAGCTTTTTTGATATGTTTAAATTGGGTTTCGTAGCTGCTGTTAGGCACCCTGTCCGCGCCCGACATAGATGATGACGAGGCCGGTGTCACCAAGGACATATCATGCAGAAAATGGCTGTTTGGTACTTAACATTTGTCGTGGCAAGCGTAGTACCACTGCCTGGCTGCATGTGGGGAAGGCAACAAGGCACCAGCAAAGGAGTGCTACCTTCTGGGATTTAGCTAGGTCCCCCAAGTAGCTGTAAAGAAAATACGCTGAACGACTATGTTTGCAGTCCAGTGGTGGTGGCCCTTCTGATCGTTTTGTCACGGCTTGGGGAAGACAAAAAGGGCACCAGCAAAAGAGTGCTATCTTCTAGGATCTAGCTAGGTCTCCCTAAGTAGCTGTAAAGAAAACACGTTATGTTGAAAGACTATGTTTGCGGTCTGTTTGAAGGGCAGGTATGGTCCAGTGGTGGTGCCCATTTTGATCGTTTTGGCACGGCTTGGGGAAAGAAAAAGGGTACCTGGGATTTAGCTAGGGCCCCGCAAGCAGCTGTAAAAACATATGTTTAAAACATATGATTGCGGTTTGCTTGAAGGGCTGGCTTTCGTCCCCTCCCTTCTCAGGCACAAATCGCTACAATTAACTTAAATATTAGCGCCTTCCCTTTGGGGCCCCCAATGGACCACCCTATAGGCCTCCTTCAAACCATGAGTTGCTTCGTGCCTGAAACATGTCCAGCAGGCACTTTTATGAGAATTCATATGGGGACTTGCCAGAACAACGCTATTGGGTGCTGATCGCAGGATTTGCCCCGCGGATCGCCGAGGTGCATCAGCAGATCCTGCGAGAGTTTCCCGCGCGCCTGTACAGGCGTGGGGCGCTAGCCTCCACGGCATGCGTGGTGGAAGTGTCGGGGCGAAAACGTGGGCACAACCCACGGAAGGCTTCACATGAATGAACTCGCAAGGGGTGGGGTGGGGTGTATTTGTGTACTGTTTGGGTTGTTCATGTTCCAAAAGCACACCCTTCCAGGAACAACAAAGAATCCCAAACTAGTATTGATTTGCATTCAACCTAAATGTGTATTTTTTGGGGGGGTACGGTGAGCAGTGCTCAGCTTTGTCCATGGGTAGTGATTATATAATCAGTGTCAGGAGGTGATGTCCTTTTTTCAAGGGCCACAGGCAATTGGATATTGATGATTCATGATTCTTAAGTGAACGTCGTTGAACAATTGACTCCTCAAGTGGACCTGTTCATAAAGGAACATCGTCATCCAAGGGTTTCAAGGAATGTACCTGGGGCACTCACTACGGTTCTGACCGCCATAGAGACTTCCAGGCAGAGCACTTCACACTAAGAAGAAGAAAGGTGCTTGACTTGCACGCTAGTGAGAGAAGAAGCGTCTAAGAACTGTTGAAGGAAAAACACTTAAGAAACCCTAGTACCATTGAGTACCTGGAACCAATTCAACCTGGATGTGGTCCGGTGAATGTTCACCATTCGATTCCTCCGTCTTGGCCCTGCGTTTTTTAGGGTTTCGCAGATCCATTGATAGGCTGATGGTTCGAGACTTGCCCCTTCGCAGGCTGTGGACTGGATCCAGGGCAAAAAGGATTATATAGAAAGGTGTGTTTAAAAGAACAACACTATATATACTTTGCCTCTGTAATACGTGTCACCCGTTTGGACTCCAAATGCCTTCTCAGAAGGTACTGAGACCATCATCCAAACCTACCCCAAACACCTTCTCAGAAGGAAGGTACTTGGCCCCTGACGTTTGTTCTTTGAACAGACTGAAACTTCGGGTCAAAGCCCTCATCGCGCGTATCGATCTACAACAGGCCAACACCATGTCGCACACGAGTCCAAGCGAGTCCAAGCGCGCCTGTGAGGGCCTTGTTCCATCACATTGGGCTTCAAGAGCCGCCGGACATACGACACTTGGCAGACGTGGAACTGGGTGGGGAAACAATCTTGGATCATCCAGCGGATTGGTAACCAACAAGGGATTACCATGGATTACCCTACACTACTCTGGTGGACCTCCGGCCAGGACACAGATTAGATGATCCTGGAAAGAGGCTATTTGCGTCAGACATTCCGGATGGTTTGTTTTGTTCACTTTGTTTTCTCATTATGTGTTTTCCTAATGTGTTTTGTTTGTGTTCATTATTTTTTGTTGCGTTTTCTTTTGCAACAAACAACATTTGATGTTATATATATATATAGCTGCAATTGCTCCACTCAAGTATTTTTGTCATGTATATGTTTGAACTTAATATATAATATATAACTGTTTTGAACACCAAGCTCAAGGATGTTCAGCTGGAGCTTCTATTCGGCCGTGAGCCGTTCAACAGACTTATTACCATTCCTCCAAAGAAGGGACCTTCATCGGCAGTGGAGACTACCATCAAGAAGAAATCTGCTGGCTGGATGTGGATGAGTTGAACTCGTGGACGGAAAAGGGACTCACGGACCGATGAGTGCCGAGACGGGCGCGTCTCGGCTCAGAAGTTCCACCAACGTGTTGAACAGTGGGACTCCGACCTCGGAGCGAGACCCAGAGACGATCCTGCAGGCAAGGTTCCCAGAGACGATGGCGAAGGCAGGCCATGACCGACCTCAAACTGGGGGTGTATGCCACTGACGAACCTGTCCTTCCTATCACGGGGCGGGGATGAAAAGCGTTGCGCCTCCGGCCAGATGTTGAACCAGTTGGACCATCACGCCGTCCAAATTGGGCGGTGTCTCCGTGCATCGTTGGCCAGGTGCCAGTTGCATCGTTTGCCAGGCTGGCGTTGCATCGTTGGCGGGATCAAGAAACAACTTGGACCTCCACGAAGATTGGCAACAGATAACTGATACAATTTCCCAGACACTCCATGGGACTGCCATATATGCCGATCAATTGGGGTGGTTTTGGGGGTCAATGGGGCGGCATATATGGCACTCGCCTGGAGTGTTTGGGTTTGGATGGTGCTTGCCACTTCGAAGTATCTTACGCCACCGGCACCGGATGCTGAGACCTCCACGAATTTTGCCGGTGCTGATGGGACTGACAGGACTGACAGGCTCCATGGATGTTCCATGCATTCATCCTCGAAAATACCACGATATGTAGACAAATACCAGGGCCCCCCTAATGGATACCCCGAATCACCTCTAAGGAGCTATAATTAGACACCCCAAACAGGGGCCCTGGTATATGGTCGAGATGGAGTGCTTAGGTACTCAGCCCTAGTCGCGTCGCGAAGCTCAGGATATCATCGCTACAACAGCTGCTTGGCTTGAACATGCCCTATCTGAGGATTTCACTCAGCCTTTCTCAGAAGGTATACATGGTAAACTAGACACACTTGGACCCTCCTCGAGCCTACATCAAAGAGTGTAGGCAGCGGAGCCCAAACGGGAGAATGGATTGAGATCACACACTAAAATCAATAATCCCACTCTACAAAAATCTACAAACCTCCTCCTTGAAAGCCGCTAGTCCCCAAGCCCCCCGCAGTCCCGGCCGCACCGGAGGCTTTGGGGGCCGCCGCACCGGCCTTTGCCAACGGAAGAACTTGCTGAAGGCGGGGGAGCACCGGGCCGGCCAGGACACCCTAAGGGGCTTCTATTGATAGCTCCTTAGAGGTTAAGGGTGTCCATTAACCATCCCTTGTGGGTCTTGGTATATGTTGCCTTGAAAACCACTGGGTTGTAGACATGTTCTGAAAAAGGCGTCCTTTTGTCCGCGTCCATGTGAGTCTGCAACGGAGGGGGATTCATGTGTGATCCAAGTTGTCAGGGATGACTTGAAGGTGATGTCCTTCGATTTGGGCCACGGTGACTCGACTCAAACCATTTTTTGTGGACAAGTAGCTTGCAGGTTTTGGTCGTGGGTTCGCCCAAGAAATAGTTCACCAACCCCTTTGCGGGTCAGTTCTTTAAAGCCCTATGGATAGCGCATCCGTTCTGAGAGTTCCTCTGGTTCGGCATGCCGCATGCCGTTCCGCTCTCCGTTCCATGCACCGAGAACCCCACGCCCCAGGAGTTCCAGGAGGCGTTGGAGCCCGAATATCGTCGCTTGGAGGAGCTCCGAACTCTCGGGGTGTTTTTGTTTTTTCTTCCGGTGCATCGCTACTAGCAAGAAGCTACTGTAGCCAAAACACCATGCACAACAAGAACATGGTGCCGTTTTGGGGAACTGGTGGAGAGGTTGGCGGGATGTTTTTGGTGGTGGATGGACGGTGTGTTTGAGGGATGTTATATAAGTTGAGGGCTGAAGGATCTTTTTTCCATGTGTTTTTTCTCAACAACGGATGGCCATCACTTTTTCCTGAACAACTGTCGGCGAATCACTCACTCACTAAGCCTTCCCAGTGGCCATGACATCCACTTTCAATGGTACTGAGTTCACGTGCAAACCCTAAGAAACCAAAGAAGGGTTGGAACTGCTTGATCAGCACCAAAACACAAACACAGAACAGACACCAGAACTCACCATTGCAAATTTGCCATTGATTTACCATAATCTGGGTGAATCAAGCTCTGAGAAACCTATCGAAACCCCAGTCGTTCCTTTCGATTCCTCGAAGTTGGAACACTCGCACAATTCAAAATCCCAGACAGAATGACAGAATGATCATCAGTTTTAGCGACTCTAGGATACTTTAGGACAATCCTCCCTTCCTTTAGGACAATCCTCCCAGCCGAACACCGATTCTTCGCCCTGTTTTTTCGCCGACTCCCAAACCGGTTTTAAACCTATTCCTGAGATTGTGAGGGGATGGGGTGAGTAAACCTTCAAACTTGACCTTCAATCATTTTGGGGCCTTGGCTTCTGCACTGAATAAAACCTTGAGCCAGTCAGTGGATCCCAGTTACCACTATACAAGGAACCAAGGATTCGTTCGGTCTATGGGTTTAGTCTCTGAAACCACTGTTACCAGCTATAGTGGTTTGGATGCCCTGCGTTAAGGCTTAAGGCTTAGCTTTTAACCATGCTTCACCGGTCTTTTTCCACCAACTTCCACTCCACTCCCCCTGCGGAGTGACCGCCACCGCAGCTCCACCGCAGGAGGTGCTCCGCCAACTGGGCCACCCTGAGATCTCCGAGCTCTCGCGCCGCACCACGCGCTGCCACCGCCATGCCGAGCTGCGGCGCGCCGCGCGCTGCGTGAACCAGCGTGGGGGGAGCCCAGCGCCCAAGGGACAGGAGCGAGGAGTCGCAGGAGGATTCGAGGGGGTAACGAGTGGGGTCACTCCACCTGAACCTGAACGGCACTTGGTGACTTCCGGGAGAACACACGTGGCGAGCGGCATGAGTCAGGGAAGCATTTCTATAAGTCCCAGACACGACTAATGGGACTGCCATATATGCCTACATTGACCCCTCTGGCACCACCCCTGGCCTGATCGGCAGTCCTATGGCAGTCCCAGACGGGTCGTGTCTGGGAGTGTGTGTTTGTGTTTTTTTTTTGGGGGGGGGGAGGAGACGGAGGTGGTGAACTAGTAGACGGCGGTGGTGAACTGGTTTTGTATACGGGATCAAGCACCTCAAGCACTGGAAAAGGCGAAGGACACACAAGATGGAAGGTGTAGTGAATCTAGTTCAGCATACTTCATTGACTGATAGGAGACTGGTCAGTGTGGTCAGATTCTTGGAAGATTCCACGAGTCCAGGATGGTTTATATCATATTGTGAGATTGTTTGGGACACATTTTGCAGCCTGACATGTAGATGTACAGTAGACTCAGACCGTGTCCAGTGATCCCAGTTCTTGGAGCTCAGGAGCAAGGACCACCACTGAATCTGATTAGCCCATGCCCAATTTCTGTCAGAATCATTCACAAGCTGCGCTTACCCACTCAGGGACTGGGTGAGGCTGTGTCGGGCTGACCTCTCCAGTCCCTTGGTGGGCTGACCTCTCCTACCGCATGAGTGAAAAGCGCCTTTACCAGTGGCCTAAGCACCAGCGAAAACACGGTTAGGGGATTGGACATTTTAAAGGGATCAAGTTTTGGTAGAAGATGCATGCTGGAGACTTTGCAAACAAGTCTGAAAACCACGTCGATGGGGTCGACCAACATGTTCCAGATGTGGTGAGAGAGAGAGAGAGAGAGAGAGCGATTGCCTAGTAAGGGGTTGGGGAACTCCTTGTAGCTCCTCGGCTCCCTGTTGAATGGGGAAGGACTGGATACCCCTGGCTCCGAATCGCTCCCTCCTGAGCAAAAGCTAGTTGCGGAGTTCACTTTTCGAGCCATCCATTAGCTAAACATCCCCTCCCTGGGCCGAGCACCTGAGGTTGTGATCTGTGACCCCTGCCACCGCTGCGGTGCGAGCCGAACACGCCGAACACCGCAGCGGTGCGAGGTGGCCTGGCTGCTTTGCCGGGGGCCACGACCTTAAATAGACCAGAGGCACCAGCCAGTTAGTTGTGTATTATGTGGTTTCATGTTGTTTCTATTCTTTCAAGATTTTCAAGTTTTAATACAATTGAAACTGCCCCGCAGTGCTGTTGCATGTGTATTTTCCAAGGCAAGTCACCAAGTAAAGCATGAAACACCTAGGGTTGATGGCAGGAAGTCGAGCTTTATTTGGGAATGATGAAGATGGTGCCATGCACGCAACAGACAGTGCTTTGCTTTCCAAGAGCAGGTGTCCATCAACGACGGGCACAATGGGTTCTAGCGAAGGTGTACCTCCCTTGAAAAACAAGCCTTGGAACTGCCAGAGCCAAACTGATTGTTTGGAGGTACAATCTTACTCCCCTGCATTCCCCTACCAATCCACATACCTTTTAGAAGGCACTTGGACACTAAACCTTCCTACAAGAGTATCCAATCAATTTCTCACCCTTGGCAGTGGATCGGAAGGACCTTTCATGTCCCTTCCAAGCGCGAGGTCTTGGGCAGGGGATTATCCATGGATATCAATGTTTTCTCCGGTGAGTTTCTCAATGGTAGCAGCACTTTTTTCAGGCCGCGGCACGTGGGGCTTGCAAGAAGGATGAAGAACACGATGTTAATGACCCACTTATCGTGGCGACGTTTGTGAAAGAACCTTCATATTTCCGATCTGAGCTGGATCGCGGCGCTCCCTTCCTTCCTTCGCGCCGTCCGACCTTCGTTCCCAGGTGCCGTCTCCCACCCCAAGACGCCAGCATCTCCCACCCCACGTCCCCAACCCGAAACCAACACTGCGAGCGTTGGAACAACGGAGGTCGATTTGGTTCCCTTCAACGGGTGAAGGCGCTTCCCGGGCCAGGACCGCTCGCCCCTCCACCGACCACCACTCGACCGACCTGGACCTGGACGAACGGAGCGCAGAGCGCGGAAAGAGAAAGGACGAAAGCGCCCTCCGTGATGCCTGGAGAGACGTGCCATATTTTTCAGTTGTTTGCTAAGTGCTGAGAAGACGGCGGATGGAGGATGACAACCTCAATGATGTGTTCAATCTTCCGGGTGCATTCTCAGTGAATTGGGAGATCCCAGAAACACTGGGGTTATGGTTGGGAGTGGAGGCTGTTGGTGGATTTTGGTGCTTGACTCTCCATGTTCACTATTCAGGTCTGGGGCCCTTTGCGTGCCCCATCCTAAGAACTCTCCCACTTCCCGACTCAGTCAGCGGACCACCTTCTAAGCTTTTTTGGAGGATTGGTTGCCCCACTCAACAAGTACAGCGTGGAAAAAGGTTAAGCCGGTTAACCGGTTAACCTTTATTTCCCAGCAAAGCTGAGGCAGTCAGAATTAGCACCTGGTACATATAGTCATATATAGCTGCTTCGTACCCCCACTGTGGCACCCAGAGGATGTAGTAAGCAGCACGGATGCTCTTCGTGAGAAGTCTTGAAATTTGGCCGCCTTTGCCCTACGGGGAAACAAGGACATTTCATGAATTCCCGTTCTTGGGATTTTGTTCAGTGCAGTCCGCGATGGTTATCCTTTGACACACTTGACCCCACATCATGGAGTCAATGGCATGTTGCCAAAGTTGAGTCCATGGTGCCTTGAATTGGCAAACACTCTGAAATGGTTATTTTTTGTTGCTGTTTGTGTGTTTATTTGATTTCAATTTCAAGTGGCAGCCGGAATTCCTGCTGCCGGCACCGGTAGCCGCCGCCTGGCTTAACCGTCCGTCCCTGAAACAGGCGACGCTGTGGAACCAGTTCCGGCATTTCTGCGGAGCCAGCTTCCAGGGTGCTAAGGTGCGGTGCGGTATGTGGCGACCGGAGACATGGGGAGACTCAGCGGAACAAAACATATACACTCTGACGAAGACATCACATGGAAGCGGATGGCATGGTAGAGTACTTTCCTTTACAAACGCATGGTGTTTCAATGTTTTTTCCACTTCCGTTAGTGAGTCGGAGTGTACACCCGAAGTACCGGCCTCCAGGCGAGGCATGGCGAGGCTGACAGTAATGTGGGTGGATGAGTCGTGGATGACTTGGGCAGCCGCTCCAGGTTCTTCACCGCCCACCTGTACAAATCCTTCAAATCTGTTTCAATCCCCCCAGGCCCAGCAATTCGGAGGACACACCGGGACCACGTCTCCGACGTTTGGACGCTCAGCCGCCCAGACGCCAGGACATGATTCACCAGATGCAGGAGTACTACGCGGATGTGAATGTCTTGGACCCCCCAACTGAGGAGCGTGTGCCGTGGCGGTACCACCCCGGCCGTGGCTGAGACTAAATCCATGCGAGACTAAATCCATGCGGCACTTAACACCCTGCACATGGGACGTTCGTAGAAGAAGTGGAGTTGATTGGGAGGTTGCGGAATTTCATGGGATGTTGGATTTGTTTATAGATTGTTCTGGGTGTAATGTCACAACATGTCATCATATACACCAGTATTGTCACCCTATTGGCCTTCTAATCCCAATCAAAAAGCCCGGATGGGATTTGAGTTTATTCCCCTGAGCTTTTGGGTGTGTGGACCATCAACCGCGTGTCATGGCTTTCACTCCACGTGTCTTTTGGGAAGTCTTCACGTTGACATGCATCGTTAGCGGGTCATGTGGCATCGTTGCATTTTACAAGCATCCTGGAGTGGATGCACGATGATAAAACCGGATGTTCTTTCTGATTCTTCTTTTGTATTTTGCCGTCTTCGATTTTACTCGATCCTGGATGGCTATACTGTCTCTCCTTTTAGACCTGGCGCAGGTGCCCAAACAGAAGAGCAAGAACCAAAGTGGTCCATAATTCAGAGCTTACGTCCACGAGGGTGGCACATGAGGAAGCTCACTCGTTTCAATCAGCACTGAGAAGGTTCTAGACACCCACTGAGCGCAACACATGAGTTACCCACATTGACCATACAAGATTGATACTAGTATATTGGACAAATATGGAACAATACATTCTCTGAGATCCTCATGGGATGGCCCTGCAAGGAAGATCATTTTCGTCTACCAACGGGTGGTTTTCACTCCACGTAACCATGTGAAAATGATTCGGAGAGCTCCACGGGACGTTTCTCCTTGGAAAAGCATGACCAGGGACCAGATCAAACATCACGACTTGGTCAAACCCGAAACCCGAGTCATGGTCGAATTCAGTTGAACCAACACGGTTTCGATGTTCGATTCATACCCTTTTGAATGGTTGTCCCGAAAATTGGGTTGCTGATTGAACATCTTAGAACAACGAACATGGAGCTCGTCCCCGTGAAGAACGGCTGCAGAAGTGCCGTGCTTCAGATTCACCGAGGTGCTTCATCAGCGGGAGTTCGAGGAAAGCTTGCCGGGCCTCGGATGGACAGAAGGTGCGGATGGGGAGTCGAACCCACGGAGTCGGTCGATTCGGGTGGTACACACAGTAAATGTAGCGTTCAGGCACCGTAGACCTGGTGGAAGAACCCCAGGAAGTGGAAGTGGAATGGCGCAATGAGGTTCATTGGTTGGCCACATGATGCACCATGAATTAGGGTTGAATTTCAGGGATGCACAGGTGAACGCCGTGAGGTTTGGTGTTGAGATGATGGCTAGGTCGCTGGAGGGTCGCTGGTGCCCACAGTTGGTCACCATACTGCCCAAACTCTTAGTCCTCCACCGGGCTGGGGTGACCACCTTCACAACAGGACCTTGGGAGCCGTGCGAGACGAGAGGTTTGTAGCGTTGTTGGGGACCATTCAGTCTGAGAGGTTGGCGCTGAGACGATTCGAGTGGTTTGGTTCGCATGAGCTTCCAAGAGGTGTGAAGTGATCGTAAATAGGACCCGGAACCTTGGGGTACCGGATAGTCGGTACCAATGGGTCTTTCAACCTCTGTTGCTTTGGAGCATTTGCGGCGTTTGGCGGTCTTCCCTGCCACACAATCTTCCGTATTCTTGGATGTGCTTTCGTGGAGCGTCACTCTCGACAGGAATCTGGGCGGTCGCCCAAAATCACCCAGACGCGACCCTGGACCCTAAAAGTAGGGGCCGGACCCGAATCCTCTGGGTCCGGACCCGAACCAATCCCGGTGTTGAGGGACCAGTCGAGCTGTGAACGGAGCGTTCGGGCAGTCATTTTGGGGGATGTTTCTCAAACAGAGTGCTGACCCACCAGAATTCGCCTCCATAGACCTACCATCGACCGTCATCGACCTCTCTTCAGGTGAGGAGACCCTGCTTTGGGAAGCCTTTTGCTCTGACTCCGACGGGCATATCCCAAGCATCTATGCCAAAAACATCAGGCAAGCGTTGGGACGGAGGTTCAAAGGCTTAAACAGGTTTAACATGGCATGAGAGCAGCCCATCCGATATGTACCACTACAGGGTCCTAGTTCAGGTCTCTCAACTTCTCTTGGAAGAGGTTATGATGGTTTGGTGGCGTGGCTCCAATACATATGTTGTGTAATCTGACGAGTCGTGGCGTGCTTGGCCGCATGCACGGCCGCAGCTGCATGGCTGAGGACATGGGGGATAGACATCAATTTCTTTGCTCAACTGCCTAGCGTCAGTGAAGATACTAGTGTGGATATATCGTAGTTGTCAGCAGCTATACAGATGGGGATGACAACATTAATTTATAACTAAAGAGAGATGCAACCTTTTTCTTTGCAGAATCATCACTGGATTAGATTCGATATCCATTTTGGTATTAGGATGTTGATCGGCAAGTTATTGGAACGGTTAATTGGTTCCATTATTCAATATCCATCACATATTTTCCAAATCAGGCAATACCAATAATGGAATGGGATGCCAACCCAGGGGGCATGAAGGGTCCCACTTTGGGGAAAGAGTATTTCTAGCACGCGGAGCAATTCTAGCAGCACAATGAAAAGTACTGTAGCATGTAGTTGCGGTAGTAGCACCTAGCAGTGGCAGTAGCAGCAGCGGGAGCAGTAATGGGAGGAGATAGCTTTAGGTCCTGGTTGTCCTTGCTCCACTTGGCTAGATAATTTGACATCCCGTTGCCAACAGCCAGGTGGGTCGACCGGGAGGTGAAGATTTTCAAGATGACGCCTGGCTGCACGTCTCGGTTCGTTGAAGTGTTTTCTTGAGGGGGGGTGGGGAGCAGCCAGTCTCCGGAGAGAGATGCCTAGTAAACCAAAGAATGATCGAGTGAACTTATCTGCTGGAGGAACTGGTGTTTGGCATGTTGCACCTCTAGAATCTACATTGAAGATTCTGTTTCTCCCCCTTGGTTGTCATTGAAGGACAGGTACCACCGTGGTGCCTTTTTGAATGCTAGAAATGTCGATTTTCAGACCGGTAGTGTGGCACTTGCCGCCCGGAAGAAGCGCACCGTCGTCTTCAGGAAGCAAGCGGCCCGGAAGAAGGCTGAGAAGATGGCAGGCGCGGAAGGGAGCAGCGGCGGACGATGCGGTTTGGCAGCCGCGCGAGGATAAGCCGCGGCGATGTCGGCCATGTCTGGAGTTCAACTGAGACAGCTTGCTGCAGAAAACAGCCTTGTAGTATGATCATCCAAGCGGTCCCGATTTGACACAAATTTGTTGCTTTACTTCCTCAGAATCTGAATGCGTTCAAGTATAGTATATACCTCAAAACCTAGGGAATTGAGACCCCAGACCCCTCCATATGAGGGTCCGACCCCTCCATACGAGGGCCCATGAGCGTCTGGGTAGTAGTATAATGGATGGTTGTTGATGTTATTGAGTCGACCTTTTACCCACTGTGGTCGCCCGACCTAGCTTATCTTTGCACGCTTGGCAGAAACCTGCCAGACTCTACCAGGCGTGAAGCAGCGCACCATCCAAGAGGCTCAGCTGGCACTGAAGAGCTTCAAGGCGCGACGCGAACGGGGCAGCGCTGCGCGGCAGGAGCGAATACAGCACAGATGGAAGCGGGTGCCAACGATCTCAGTTTTGGAGTCCACCACGAGAGCCAACGATAGGT